GTATTTGTTTGTATTATTTTTATTTAGGGTATGGAGACGGGATCATCATCGTCTTCGCAGTCTAGACAATATGACCTCCAGCAGGGTCCTATAGATAAGAGTTTATTGGTCCTTCATGATGATCATAGGTCATTCTATACATTTAGGGGTAATACGGCTTATTTGAAAGAACTTTCCGCATACCGAGTGGATACTGACCTATGGCCTGAACTAGACAAGGCTGCCCCACAGATACATGCCCAAATAGCAAAGTTTGGTCTAGGGCCTCTTTTTCGAATTGGTTCCATTAAGTTAGATTGGCCCTCATTACAGCCTTAGTTGAGCGATGGCGGCCTGAGACCCATTCATTTCACTTGCCTATCGGAGAGGCGACGATTACTCTACGGGATGTCGAGGTCCTTCTGGGTCTGCGGGTTGATGGCCATGCAGTAGTCCAGGGACAGTACCTCCGCAGGATGTGGAGTGGGCCGATTATTTAGAGAGTCTGTTTGGATTCGACGGCGTCCTAAGGCCACGAAGGATAAGGTAGTAAACATCACGAGATATAAAGAGACACATTATGACTAATCTGCTACCGGAGATGCTACAGAGGATATGTACCTTCGGGGTACGTTGTTTTGTCGGATGGATTTTAGGAGGGTTATTGTTTCCGATAGCAGCGAAACAGTTTTCCCTGGGCACGGTGGGGTATTTGGAGGACCCAAATACATTTCGGGAGTTTAGTTGGGGTAGTGCTACACTGGCGTGGTTGTACCGAAATCTATGCACTTCCTCGATGATCACATTGTCTGGACAGGTATTTGTGGTCGCTACTACTCTTACAGGTAATTTCAAACCGCCCTTGTATTTGTATTTGATTGTTAGTTTTTATTCATTTTATTTTAATTTTTTCGATTTATTTTTATTTTTCTTATTTGTAATTTTTGTTAGAATCCTAATATTTATAATTGTATTTTATTTTTAGTTTTTAATTATTGTATTTGTATTTTTAATTTCACGTATTATTTTATTGCAAAATAGTTATGGGCTTGGGAGCGGATATTGACTTTCCGTCCGAGTTACGTGGGCCCGTACTGGATCTTCGGGGTGTCCTTGGGCGGAGGTAATTAATTTTTAACTATTCAATAATTATCTTAATTAGTTATATTTTTTAATAATTTTTTTCTGTTTTTTCAATCAAAACTATATTTTTTTGTAGGTGGAACCGTCCTAGAAAAGTGGGAGACATCACACGATTTAATCTGACCGCCTATCGAGACCAGCTTGCGGTTTTGCAAGAACATAATGTAAGTATTTTTTATTGGAACCATCATAACGTATAAATCAATTTATTTTTTTTCTTATATATTCACATAAATTTTTTGTATTATCTGTCCCTCTACAGTTTGTTTGGATGCCGTATTCTCCTGCTATTCTAGCAGACATTGATCCATCTTGCTCTGCCGGCTCCGCCATATGGATGTCCCAGACTTGGCTGCTTTATTTTGGTATCCGAGAGCCACACATCCCAGGCAGGGTGTTGCGCCAGTTCGGCTTCTTGCAGCGCGTGCCTGACAACACTTTCATCATGGAGAAAAAAGAAATAGAAAAGTTGCATAAGGAGACGCGTGGTAAGAAATGTCGAGATGACGTCTTACGAGGTGGGAGAATCGACACAACACCCTTGCAGTCTTCATCGACGGATATGACTCTTGAACCCCGAGCAAGACCGGAATATCTAGTGTGGTATCAAAATCACACTGTCACTTTGGTCACCAATCCATCAGACTATCGTCAGCCCCAGGGTTTTCAGGGATCTGCTGAGTCACTACATATAATGGTAAGTTACAGTTCTACTATTTCTTTAATCACACCCATATTAATATGATTTTTATACATATAACTTTCTAAAATGTTATTTCCTATTTTTAATTTACCATATATATGTTCATTTATAAAATATATTTATTATATATTTTTAATTTACCATATATATTTATTTCCTTTTATAATTTTCAGGCCAATTTAGTGCAAAACATGCGGCATATTACTCTAGATGGGCTACAACGTAATCCAGTTGATTCTTGGAATCACAATGCCTTCTTACAGCTGCACGATTTGACACAAGAGCAGTAATGATCACAAGAAGACATCTGTTTGGGCTGATAGTGAGAACCCAAGCCAAGATTTTGTTCCAGTGACCCAACCCAGAGTATATCCCACCTAGGCCTCCCGGACCGACCGAGGCGGCTTCCGGTTAGGGAGTGGGAGAATGAGAAAACTGTGGCCACCTGAATACCGGCGGGCAATCTTCTACCCCCATGTGTCTCCTTACCGTCCATCATCGCCACACCACCATCCCTCTCCTCCTTTTGAGCAAATGCATTTTGATTCGATTTTATCAATCTAGATCCTAATGTCGGGGTTTCTTTCGGACTAGTTACGAGAGTGGTCATCATAGTCGGCATCTAGGTGGTGACGATATCCATCATGATCGGGAAGATGATCAAAATCATGAGGATATTGGGGATCAGGAGCATGATGATGATGCTGATGATGCTGAGCATTCCTCTCATGATCATTATGAGGGCGCTGATCAGGGACAGGGCCCCAGTGATGATACTATGCCTTTTACACCGATTGCTTTGGGTAAGGGACAGCGGAACATAAAAAAGAAGAAAAGTGCTGCATGATGATTCTCGGGAGAAAAGCGCAAGATGTAGAACTATTAGATTGAATTGTACTTTTATTTTATGCTATTTTATGACTTTTGTTATTAGTTTTAAGCAATACCTTTCATTTATTTTCATTAACAATTTATTTCGGTTTTATTTAATCTTTAAGATAAAAAAACTTTAAAAGGCAAACATTAAAGAAGATAATTTCTCAAAAGACAATATTATGTACAATTTTTTAACTTACTTTTATACAATACTATCTTTTCGTCGTGCCAAATTCAAGTTTCCATGTCGCCAAAAGATCATTGTTAGAAGGAAGTGTGGTTTTATCAAGTTTAGCAGACTGATTATGTCGATTCTAAAAATTTAGTTTTTTCCTTACTTTAAATGAATTGATTCTAAGTTTTATTATGTAAAAATATTATTATCCTAAAATTAATAAACTTGATTTTTGACATTATATTTTTAATGATGGTAAGTTTTAAATTGAAATCAAATAAAAGTCATTTTTTTAAAAGCAAACTTGGTTACGAACGGAAGATTATATTCTAATTTTTCACCGAAATTTTAATTTACTTCTTATTCAAATTTTATTATAAATGCATTATACGATTTCGTTCACCAAATATAATTTTACGATTGCAATTCTATTTAGAACTAACATAAATTTACTTAAATCAAATGAATACTTTTAATTTAGAAAATTTAATTTTCAATTAAAATAGTATTTTTTTGTTGAAATATTACAACATTTTATCAACCAAAATATTTAATTTACAACATTTCATTTTAATACCAATTTAAAGCTAGGAAACAATTTTTAAATGCAGATTTAATACGTTCGCATATGCCAAATGCGAAAAGTTAGATTTCGCATACCCCAAATGCGAACGATTAAGTTAATTATAATTATCCAGTTTTAATCCAACGTCTTTAATGCATTGTAATTAATCCACTCCATTTTCGCATTTGCTGAACGCGGAGGTTGATTTGTTCGCATTTGCCAAATGCGAGAAACATATTTCTTTCTACCTCCGAAAACCTAGCCATAATCCTGCTTACACTACTAATTTGGGAGTATATTTGTGTCATTTTTCGATATTCATGAGTTAGAGCAATATTTTTCATGACACACACACACACACACACACACACACACACACACACACACACACATATATATATACACATCAAGATTTCATGATTTTTTATTAAACTTAAATTATTCCTAATATTCAAATCACGATAACAATTATGAATAGAAGAAAGAGTTACAAAATTATTGAAATATTTAATTTGTATTTGAAAGAATGATATTTCATAATTAGATTTAATAATGATGTGAGAAAATGAATCAATTTAATAATATTTTTATTAGTTTTTTATTTCATAATTAAATTTTATTAATTAATTACACAAGTACACCGATGAACCAGGTTCACCATATAAATTTCCCTACTTATGAGTTTTTATAAGAACAAGCATAGAAGCAATTATTAGTGATCCAAGTTCCAAACTATTAGATCATAATCAGTCCCATTCAATTATGTTAAATGAGCATCACAACTTTTCTATAGATAATAAAAGATATATAAAGTAGAGATAAATTTGTGAAAATGTGTATATAATATATAATAAATGATACTGATACATACAGTAGAGATAAATTTGTGAAAATGTGTATATATAAGAGAAGCTTCCAAACTTTTTCATTTTACCTTCACTAAAAAAACCAATATTGTGAGTAATTTTATGGACGGATTACTCTAAAAAAAATCCCTTAAAATCAAGTACCCTTTAAACAAAAAATTCCATCCAACACAAAGGAAGCTTTCAGACAGAGTGCAAACAACCAATTATTTCAATTTTTATGGAGGATGCTTCTTCAAGTTCATGCTAGGAAGTTTTGCTATGTTGCTTCAGCTGATTGGTGCATGAGTAATAACCTCAAAGAAACCAAAGAAAGTGACATCCATCACAATTTTTTGAATATGTGAACATAAAAACTCTCCATCTTCCATTCAAACTCCCATATCTCCCTCAAAACTCACCAACTAGCCAGCATGAAGCTGGATCATAATTCTTTGCTTGACTCATTGCCATAAAAGAAGAATACAGTTGTGGTTGTAAACAATTCTTCTCCTCTATAAAAGCTAGGTTCACAAGGAAAGAGAAACGTCGACAAAAGCATTCGCGAAATGATCACTGATACTAACTAGATCCTAGAACAGCAGCTCATTAGGTAGGTATAGTTTATACAGTTCTAGGAAGCTTAAGAAGGAGCAGTACTAGCTGTGTTCTCTTCAGACAACTTAAAACATATATAGTATTTCTTCCCCAACAATGGGATTTTCCAATCTAGTCGGCAAGTATCAGCTAAGCAGAACTATTGGAGAAGGAACATTTGCGAAGGTTAAGCTGGCTATAAACACGGCGAATGGACAACATGTAGCCATCAAAATCATAGACAAGCAAATGGTCATCAAAAACAACTTGATAAGTCAGGTAGATTTATTATCAGCATATGTTACTATTAGTTAGTACTTCTACATTCCACTCATTCCTTCATGACTTTCTGTTTCTTCTGGTTTTTTTTAACTCTGCAAACTCAGGTTTCAAGGGAAATCAGAACAATGAAGCTTCTGCATCACCCCAATATAGTCAGGATATATGAGGTCTGCTTAATCTGATGACTGATATACTTCTAGAGACTTCTGATCCATTCATAACCAGTTCAGTGATCCTTATTTTCAGGTAATAGGTACAAAAACCAAAATTTACATTGTTATGGAGTATGTTCCAGGGGGGCAACTGTCACATAAGCTGGTGAGTTTCTTCATTACTTCAAGTGGAAATGAATGTTTCAACACTGACATACTTTTTTATGTTTCCTCTGCTCAGTCTTACCTGAAAAGGCTAAGTGAAAGTGATGCAAGAAAATTCTTCCACCAGCTGATTGACGCTGTTGATCATTGCCACTGGAGAGGGGTTTACCACAGGGATCTCAAAGTCTGGTTGACTTGTTTTCTCATTTTTTTCCTTGTTTTTGCCTCAAACACTAAAAAGAGATGACAGTGGAACTTCTTATGCAGCCAGAGAACTTGCTCTTGGATAGTAAAGGAAATCTCAAAGTATCAGACTTTGGACTTAGTGCATTGAAAAAGGTACAAACTGGCCTGATTGAAATATTGTTTCCTACGCTACCTGACATCCAACCGATTGACTCACTGGTTTCTTGTGGTAACAGAAACCAGATTGTTTACTGTCAACTGCATGCGGCTCTCCAAGCTATGTAGCACCAGAGGCAAGTAGTTGAGCTTCAAAAATGGTTTTGACATTTTCTGTGTACAGCTTTAGTTTATTTGAAGTCAGCACGTATAAGTAGTATAGGATGGAGTGAATTACCTATATCTTGACAATCATTTGAATCTCTGATGAACAGCTTCTGAGTGATAAGAGTTATGATGGAGCAGCAGCAGACATTTGGTCTTGTGGAGTCATACTTTTCGAACTACTTGCTGGATATTTACCCTTTGATGATTCAAGCCTTACAAACTTGTACAGAAAGGTAACACTTAATTCTATGTTTTCAGCTACTAGCAAATCAAATGAAGTGAAGATTCACAAAAGAAAATTCTCATGCTGGTTGGTGCAGATATATAGAGCAAAATACGAGTTTCCAGAGTGGTTCACTGACAACCAGAAGCAGCTAATTTCTAGATTACTAGACCCCAACCCGGACACTGTAAGCTTCAAACTAACAGAACCTAATTTTTGGATCAGAGGAAATGAGGACAAGTGACATATTAAAATTTGTACCGTATGTTCTTTGCTTTGCAGCGAGCTACTATGGCAGAAATCATTGACAACAAATGGTTTCAGATGGGCTATGAACCGACTGAGGAAGTAGAGTTGGTAGAAAGTATCACTGTCGATGATGTTCATGAAGCATTCAGCTTGATTAAGGTACAGGTCCAGCATACATCAACATGTAGTACCTGGATGAATTAAGACTGATCAATTGAATTTGGATTAGGAAACTGAAACAGAAGTGGGTATGCCCCGATCTCCCAGTTTTATCAATGCTTTCCAGCTCATAGCGACGTCGCATGACCTAGATTTGTCAGGTCTCTTTGAAGAAAAGGTAGGTAAAAAGTTTCAGAAATCAAATGTTACTCATTCTCAAAAAGCTCTGTCCAACAGCTCCATTGAATCTCCAATGTTACTTGCAGGGTAATGAAAAGCTGAAGAAAAAACTTGGATCTAGAGGCACAATCACAGAAACAATAGAGAAAATCAAGGCTGCTGCCAAGGATGTGAGTCTATCAGTTGAAAGAATAAATACCTCAAAGGTAAAAACACTGACTCTTGAAGATGTACCCTGCACAAAGTTCAACCAATAATCACCTCTTTCTCAATTTTCAGATTAAAATGCACCCTTTGAAAAAGATGACAAGTTCAAGATCCTGTCTTGACCTATCAGCCCAGGTAAGTTGCTAATCGATGCCGTTTATAGTAACTACAAGCCAAAAAGTTCAAGGGCTTATGATGTTTCAAATCTCAGGTGATTGAGGTAGCTCCTAAACATTGTGTTGTTGAAGTATCAAGATCAACTGGGGAACTTGGACTGTACAAAGAGGTATTGCATTTATCTATTTCTCTGTTAACTGAGACTATACTCGTTAAAGTCAACATTTGCTAAGTTCGCTTCTATGATCATGATAACCAGTTCTGCAGAAGTTTAACAAGTCTACTGACAGAAGGATTAGACTTGAAATCAGAAGTCACAGAAGATTAAGAACGCCATCCAAGCTCAAATAATGTCAAACATCTAGTACTGACCTGATTCAGCAAGTAAACGGAACAAAATACCATAAACCAGAATCCAGATTGCAGATGTTGGAACCTATAGAGATCTCTATGGCATGTAAAAAGGAAGAAGAAGCTAAAGTTACTCTTCCTAGTCTGACTGACATATCCAAATACTGCGACTACACCGAAGACTGCTATTGATGTTTTTGCAGAATGGTAGACTTAGATTTACAGTTGGAGGTGTTTCTTTTTCCAATAGTTTTGTAGTGATATTAAAATCTTTTCAAATCTTTTCCGAGCTTAGTTTGCAAGAACAGAACGAAACGGTTGTGGATCAGGGATGAATTGCTGACTAGTTGAGTTCTCTGAGGGCACGGATTCATTGCCCCAGCAGTGGTAAAATCTCAAAAATGGTGCACTAATTCTTGCATTCTACCACTTGGTCTGGCAAGGAGCTCATTGATTAGTTCAGATTGGTATTCTTGCAAGTGAATAAAAGGCCTCGTCGTCCATCATCACAAATATCAGACATCATTTACGGTAAAATTAAGGTTCAGGGCAAAGAAAATACATGAGAAAAAATAATTCTAGTAACAACCACAAATCATGAACAGTTGCGATTAGCATGACGGCAACAGTATGCTAACTCAGATAAAAATGTAATCCATATCGTTATGTACAGGGAAATTTTTTTTTTTTTAAAAAAAAAAAAGAAGAAGAAAGAACACCTCCTATGTGCAAAATCTCAGCTTGATTGATAACTGATGGTCAATCTAACCCATCACTTGAATCACCAGCGGCGACATTTTAGTGAGGGAGAGCATGAAGTATCAATAGGTAGATTGCTAGACAATAAAGTTATCAATTACATGTTCAACCACATCAGCACCATCTGAGTTCATCCAATATCGGTTGACCTACATTGGAAACAAAACAATCTTAATATTGCAGTAAAGGACAAGGCACATATACTTAAATAACAGCACTTGCGCCTGATGCCAAGTGCTTAACCGTGACATGCCAAAGACAAATATTGCATCTAACCCACAATGTTTACAATTTGATTGATCTAAACAAATGAAAGCTGTTAAACATATGACTGCGATAACTGAGCTAATGATTAGACAGGAAATGATAACTTCAACTTATGCAATCAAACATGAGATTTTGAAAGATTAACCATGTAGTGGAAACCTAATTAAAATAGACTTGGCCATAAGGCATAAGCCAACTAAGAGACATAATTCTCTAGTTTAAAAAGACAAATAGAAACAAAGGAAACAATCCAATTTCATGTAGGGACTGCGAAAGAAGAATTTAGGTTTGAAAATTGAAATTGAACGAACAACAACAAAAGAGGTAAGCCATTTTTTACACCCAAAAAGAAATCACAAGCTATTTTTTTTCGTCTCTTTCCACATACCCTAACTTTTACTTGTAGACTATGCATAATAAGATAAGTATGCGTGACAAAGAAAAGAAAAAAGAAAATATAAAATGCATAACCCTTCTCTTAACACATCGAAGTTTTTTTAAAAGATAAACCTTCTATTGGAATTTAAACCGACGCCAGCAACATTCTGCCAACAGCAGGTTGCAAAGTATGTGATGCAGGTACAAAAAGAGTCTGACGATACTTCAATGAGAAAACTACTATTGCCAAAGATTTAAGATTTAAGTCTTGCCTGGATTGTGTTGTGCGCGACATATCGTTGTTTGCTTTTCTGAAAGCTAACATCAATCCGTTCCCAAGGTACTTGACTAAGACCTCTAATCATCTCCTCTGCACATATTAAAACAAAAAGCTTTCATCAGATCACGATAATTATGTCAAATTAAATTTACGCATACTAATAATCACTATTTCAATAAAAGATATCATTCAGAAGCCAAGAGAGACCAACACTGAAACTCCTTTCATCCAATTTAATCCAAAAAAACCCAAAGATATGTTTCCCTCATTGCTTCCCTCGTCCCTTTTATGAACAAGTATGGGAAATGGTTTGCTCCTATCCTAGCTTCCCTTCTTGATCTAGAAAAAGAATTGTCCACAGGCCCTTAATCTCTCACCCTAAGATTCTATTGAAAAGTCACCTACCCAAGTCAACAAAGGTAGCCCTCAAGAGAGACCGGGAAAAAAAAAAATCCCGAAAACAGTCTTTCAAAGGATTATTCATTTTCCTCCCTTCAAAACAGGAGCTGTAAAACTGGAATAAAGACACCACCGTAATTTAGAAGGTACTGACAAATAAAATATAATATCAACTTGAGACAATCACGCTACCTTCAAAGTCAATCATCTCTGCTTTAACATCGGAGAGTGTTTTGCTGCTATTGCCTTCAGCTTTTCCTTCATCAACATGTATAATGTGAGGGTACTTCTCATCCCTCACCAGCAGTTTGGACTGCACAAAACCGGTTGCAGTTATTAGATGTGAATCATACGAATTTAGTAAAAGTATGTCACCTATTCTAATCGACCAAAATAATGACATAATCACCTTTGGAAGTTCACTCTGGCGGCGAATTGATGACGTTCTCCAGCCAACAATATCTAAATAACTAATGTAAGAATAACAGCTTGAAATCTTTCATGAATACATTATTTATCTTAAATAGTTTGAGTTGCAAACTTAGCATTATCACAAAAAAGGATACGGTCATAATTTGCATTTGCATACGCCACACGACGCTTGAAAGAGCGTAAAGCTGACCTGTGTGAGTGACAAGGTTAATAAGCCAGACAAACTTCCAATTATTCATATTTATTTGAGAACCAGACTTTTTGTTATTCATATTTACTTAAAGGACAATTTACATTGACAAAGTACATACATGAATTTGAGATCCTCTGAATCGTTAACCATCCGCAGAAGCAGAGGAGGTTTTCCACTGTCGTCATCAGTGAGGAACAAATGCTTCCCAGATCTCCCAGCAATCCAGTGAGCAGTTTGAGGTGCACTTTTCTCTAAGAAAGGGAGACCACAAAGCAGTGGTAGCTAAGGAAGTAGCGGCACAATAAACAAATAAAAAAAAATCAGGAGAAAGCCCAAATAAATAGATTGTAATATGAGATTAGTCTCAAAGGTCGAGTCTTGACCAGAAAAACCCTATTGAGATGATCATATTCAAAATTTTGCATTAATGGAAGGAACTTAGACACTTTAACGCATAATTTCAAGCCTATCAAGCTGAGTGCAATTAAAATAGAAAAAACCCATCACAAGAGTTTCCGACAGAACAAAATGAAAATGTCAATACATTTAACATGAGTAAAAATCTAAGAATAAGAACAAAGAACAAAAATTACCTGTTTATGTCCTATTGAACCTAGATGTGGAGTTGCCAGAGTTATGAAATTCATTGGTTCGAGCCCGGCAATCTTTGCCTCATGATGCTTCTCGAGGTACTCTCCAGAATCATTTCCTTCCCCACCTGAGGAGTCAGTTTGGTTGGCTGTTTCCTTTTCAGTAGAAAGTTCATAGAGTCTTCCAATAGCATATCTCGCAATAAGGCCACCCAGTGAGTGGGCAACAAAAGATATCTTGTGTAAACCAGGCCAATGTTTCACAACATTAACCACCTGCACTATAAGAGACAGAGCTGTGTAAATGCCAAGAAATGATACGCAAATATGGATATTTCACAAATGGACTGATTTTTAGTGGAGTCACGTAGAAACAAGAGGCTCAGGGAAATGCTATTAGCAAAGTACCTCTTCAGCTAGCCTTTCACCCATCAAATCAACCCCATCAAACGTCAGCTTTGAAGTATTACGTTCACTACCTGCAACAAGAATCAGATTTAGTTCTTCAAGGTATCCGGAACATTAGAGATTCTTTCAATCATTGATCAAGGTCATATTCTTACAAAGCATCTCTCGTAGCATCTAGTGAAGAACTCTACATGAAAGGAACTATCAAACTGAACAAGAAAAAAATTTTCACATACCAGCAAACTTTACTCGTGAATAGTTTAAGGTTTTAAGCCAAAAAGATGAGATGACCAGACGATACCATGCAAATCCAAAACCATTAGGCAAATAATACAGAAGCCACCTTAGAAATACAAAAAATGAATCATTATACTGCGGACAGCAAGAAACAATTTGCAGCAAACTGAATGAAATAACAAAGATCTCCTAAATACTTCAAAAGTTCTATCAGAAATATAAAAGCACAATCATGAAGTAAAAATAATACTCAGATGAGGACAATTCACAAAAGATGTAATCTGAAGGGTCAACCCACGATGAACAATAACTTTATCAGGAAGCCTTTTCACAAACTGCTCAGCAGCATATGTCCAATCTGCAGTACTGAAATAAAGCACCAGAATTTGCATAAGAATAGGGAGAACAATTGAAGATCAGTAATATGATTTACGCACATGCAAGTAACAGTGCATCCAGACATCATGCAAGAATGCGTCAGTCACCTCAGGAAATAATTCAGTTCATGGATAATGGATGAAACTCACAAGGATAATCATCAAATCCACTTAATATGTAATGTTCTATTCACATAGTACACTTGAAGTCTCAAAACAGCAAAACTATGTTCGATGTCAAATGTTTCTTATCAATAAATAGTGACAAAGACTACATATCCCAACTTAAAAGGCTCAATATGGCACAGGGCATCAAATGTTCTGAGAGCATTCAAAATCTCCATACAGCCATATTAGATCAAACTCCAGTGACAAATTCAATGTCCCAATTTACTCAAGATTTCTACTCAGGACATATTTGAATGTGGAGCTTTTTGTAAGGATACAGACACGAGCAATCACATAACACTAACCGGCAAATTGTTATTGTTCACCAGGGTGAATACAACAAAATTCTTCGTACTTTATAAGAGGTTCCCAATTATCCCTGTTATGCAAGTCTGATACCAGTCCCTACCTACTTTTAGCCACATAAAACGCCAAATAATGTCTAACTCCTGATTTTCCAAAAAATCAAACTCTTTCCCTCAAGCAGAGACATACAAATAGTAAAAATAAAGAACAATAGGAATGGAGAAGAAACCACAAATGATGAAAGTTGCGAACTTTACCTTCCAGCAAGACCATTGACCATGACAACCAAGTGTTGAGGCTGCACTTTGGCCTCAGCGGTGGCTGCATCAAAGAAATCCTCACCTCCATTATCAGATTCCACTTCCACTTTCTGCCCCTTCTTTGGACTACCAGGAATACAACTCCTACTTAATTTCCTCCACAACTCCATCCCATCAATCTCATAATCCAACCCAATCAGCCCAAAGAACCCTTCTTTTTTCTTGGGTTTTGAATTAAATCCCAAATTAAAACACACAACAGCACCACCACCACGAACTCTAGGATTCAAAAGGGTTTTGGGGATTTCATTTGGGGGATAAAGGGGTATCTTTGCAACGGTGATCATGCGTGAATTGGTGGCAAAGTGACATAAATTAGACACTAAAAAAAAGCAGGTTTTAGAGTGTGGGGAAATATAAACTCAAAAAGGGAAAGACTTTTGGAGTTTTTAAAAGTTAAAAAGGGAATTACAATAAAAATGGGAGAGAATCAACAGAGATGATGATGTACAAGTATCATCAAATCAGTTGTACTGATTTTTTTTTATTATTTTTTTTTTGTTGCTCTGACATTCTTTCTGTAATTGGAAACATGTAAACACAAATGAAATGAACCCAGTTCAGATTTTTAACGGTTTTTATCTATGGATGAAAGAATCTCTCATGTGTGGCTTCTCAGTAACCTTAAAAAATAAAACTGTATGAATTGCAAAATCATCAGTGACGCTGTCTGTGATGCTTTTTCTTGGCAGTTGGGTTCAATATAACTTTGTTCATTTCCAGTTCCAGTCACCTCAAAATCGACGGCCCAAATAAAAATAAAAAATAAAAAATAAACTGTATTAATATGTTCTTGCTCGAGTTATGTCTGCGGGACGAATTACCATTGTTTTTTTTTCCCCATTATTGACCAGTTCTAGCGTGTGAAGGAGGAAGGATTAAAGAATGAAGCAAAAAAACTAGTAAAAGGTTTACATCTTCTTATTGTTTAATTTAGAGTTAATTTAATCGTGGCTTTTGACTAATATATATGTTGAGACCCTAAAAAATAGTTGGGTACAATTATTGCTCCAGTGGATGATTGATTTGGTTTTTTCAAATTTAATTTTATTGAGTGACAATTAGGTGTTTTGACCGGTCAAACCTAACAAATAATTGGAGCATAGGGGAAAGAAAAAAAACCCAAATTTGAAATGGAAGATATATTCATAAACACACAAATGTGAAGAAAATTTTATTAGTTTATTACCGTTTTGTAATCACAGGTATTCTCGTTCAATTAATTATATTTATATCCCGCACATTAACACGTATTTGCACTACAGTTCAGGTTATGAGAATACGGTCAACGGGTCAAGCAATTTCGTCTTGAATTTGTGGTACATGTGTCACAGGTTAATTTCAAACATTACTCTGTTCGGAATGTCAAAGCTTTAAACCAATTTGGTGGACTTCCCCTTTCCATCCAAAGTACACAAACTCTTTTTTGGGGCTACATGAGTCATTTTTGCATTAAGGGATGAGTTTTAAGAGGATGGGAGTTCTTGTAGTTAGAATTAAGGGTGTTCATGGATCAGATTGGTGGATTACTATCAACACGTAACTAAATTATGATTTACGGTTTTTAAATTATGAAAATCGTAACCGGACCGTATTGAAGTTAAAACCGGACCAATTCAAACTGTATTGAACGGTTTGATTTGGGCGGTTTGACGGTTTGGGCCTCTAATTGTGACATTATTCATTTTGGGCCATAAATTGAGCGTTTTGGTTATTGGCCTTTTTCTGGCTCATTTATTGGGCTTTTTATGGCTTTTTTTCTAGCCTTTTTTGGAGCTCTTTCATACGTAGGGTTTTGATTGGAAAAAAAAAATAATTACAAAATAAAATGAGTTGTTTGGGATTTGAACACATTATCTTTGGTTAGAATTGAAATAGTGAAAAAATAATTATCACGATTACTACTTAACATTCGTAATATAAGTTGTCATTCGTTGATATATATATATATATATAAGTAAAATAATAATATTATAATTTAATATATATACGGTCCGCTCCAGTTTGACAAACGGTTTTAATGGTAAACCGCAATCCGGACCGTTAAGAACGATTTTCAATTTTCAAATCCATCAATTTAAAAATTCACTTATAAACTGCCATCAATCTGAGCCAATGACCGGTTTGAACGGTTCTACCGGTTTGATCCAAACAATGAACACCTCTAGTTAGAATTAATGAATGGATTATGTAAGCGAGTTGTTCTTTACCATTAAAAAGCTCTTTATTGTCAAGCATGACTATTTTGCTGCTTTCATATTTTTAACACTTTCAAAAAAAAAAAAAAAATCTCTAATTTGGACTGGAAAAATGAGTAATAAACAGGTACGGATGCAAAACAAATTCTCTCAAACCTTCAACTAATTAATAAATAATAACTAACTACTTGAACAACTTATAAACTAGTTAAAAATAACTCATAAACATTAGGGGGTGCGAGGGCTGGGTGGGGCGATTAGGAGATTAGGATGGGAGATAATTATTACTAGGAGGTTGAGGGTTCGATTATCATTAGGGCCATCCAATTTAAAAATAAAAAAAAAATTCATAAAACATTAAATAATACCCTAACCCTAAGTTCTAACAAATTAAACAACTCCATAAACAAAAAAATATAATTAAACATCTTATAAAAAAATAGAAATATTTATGCAAATTTTTAAAAATAATAACAATAATAATTGAAAAATTAAATCCGGCGCTGGAGCAAGAGCCCAACCAGGGTGAGCAACCGGCTAAATAAATGTTTTCATTTGCCGAGTTGATCAAAAGCAAACCCAAAAGTGTATTACTATTCAAACTGGATATAGAAGAAGCACGGTTTTGACACAATAATCACTAAATCACATTTGTCTTGATTGGAAAATTCATAAACTTGAAATAGATGTTATTCAATCAACTGAGTATTTCAGTCAGTTTACTCCAACAAATTATATAGAAATACATGCGCACAAGACATCATTTAATATACAAAATAAGGATGGACAAATCGTGATAATAAACTCTTTCCATATAAATTTTTAACCATTCCAACAAACTCTTTTTACACATGCAGCTTATTATGACCTCAATGTACACTACATTAATACAGTACGCTGCAACGAATTATTAAGTTGGTTTAATACTTTCTTAAAATATACTCCATGCGATCGTTATTATAAGACATTTAAATTTGTCCTAAATTACACCTAATATGTTTTTCAATTGATAAAAAAAATTTCAAAATATTACTTAATAATTAGGATAACAAAGTAACTGTAAAAATGTATTTTTAACAATTTTTCAATCAAAAAAGACATATTATATGAAATGTAAGATAAATTGAAATGTCTTATAATAAATATCCGAAGGTATATTATTATTAGTAGATCTTATTTTCATTTTAACCTCCACAACGTTGAGTAACCGTCAAATACCACCATATAGAGCTAAAAGTTCAATGAATATTACTCATGTATCTTGTAAAAATAATTCACACTATAAATTGTACCGTATTACTAAAAACAATACAATTTTATTCAATATGGTCGCTCACCGACGTAATTCCCAGGTGGGAAATAATTACAAGTCATAAAAACATCGCCACTGTCACAAACTACACGAGCACACCCAACTCTCCTCGTACTCTTCCAAACAATCTGCGTATAATGCCCGCAGAGTTGTCCGTCGGCACAAGAATTCGACCTGTAATTATAGTACTTCTCCTCGGCAGCCCAAGCTTTGACGGCGTCGGTCGGCGACCAAGTCGACCCGCTTCCCCAGTATATGTTCTCCCCGAGCTTGAAATCGTACTCCGGGAAGGAATGCATCACCGCGCAATCCGCCCTCCTTTGTCCCGCCCACCATTTCGCGTAGTTCTCGAGCTGGGAATCCCACGTCAGCGGCAGCTCCCACTTCGATGCTCGTACTAAGTTGTGCGCGAACAAGAACTGGAATGCTTCTCCTACGCAGTTCCAACATAGGCTTTTTGAGGTTTCGTAGATTGTCTGGTTGTCGGGAATTACGACCGGCTTTTCTAGCCGGGTTTTCCGAGGTGGTTGCGAAGTTTCCGAGGAGTGGAAAAGGAGGGTTGTGAGTAGAATGAAGAGTAGAAGCTGAATTTGTGGCCTCATTTTTGGTTTTTCTGTAGAATGGAGGTGTATTTAATAATGTTATATAACGTAGACATGATTTCTTATATATATAGAGGGATTATATGGAGGAAATGAAGATGTGGTTTGATTGCTTCATGAGGAATCATGCACGTTTTCAACCTACATATCCAGCCTATCACTGTTCTTATTAGATCTGGATCTTAGTAAAGGTTTCAATAATTAATCCAGACCAAATCATTGTCCTTATTAGAACAATTTGGATCTTATCCAACGTGACTTAATTAAGATGCAAACCAAAATAATGCAGTTAATAACAGTGGCGGAACCAGCTACTCGGATTTGGAGGGGCTAACTACATAGCCATGATCAAAATAGATAGTCGAACGTATATAACATAAGGTTAACTGTGACTAATCCTAAGGGACTCTCCGGCCGGCCCTGAGCCCCTAAAGAGTTCCGCCCCTGATTAATAAGATTATAATGTGTATTATTTTTATCGAACACAGAGAAAGTAATATTTCTACCCATCTTATTTTCACTAATGCACATAATATAATCACAAGTGCACAACAAGTCACACAATATGTGTCTATCGATTAGGATTTTAGGTGACAAGAGTTATTATCTTCCTTTGCTTCTGCAATTTACATCTCAAAGAGGTAATACATCTGTTTTGTGCACACACATTTTATAAATAAACTATTTTCACCTCAAAATTATTTGAAACGGAACCCTTCTGCTCAAATCAACTTCTAGCTAGCTTGATAATTCAAGCCAGAGGATAACCGTTTTGCAGCAGAAGCATGTTATGTAGGGTGGCAAATCATGCCAATTATTGCGCAAATTCGATGGCGTTCGACAAGAAAATTATTAACCCTTTTATGGAGTATTATCAAAATTGAGTAATTGACAAATATTGTGGCTCAGAATGATTTGAGCTCCCGTGAAGGAGGATAGAAGTAGAACCCATAAAAGGGCTAACACTAGCAGGGTGTGCTATGTTTAACCCGTGAACCATCTTATTGTTTGTTCGTATTCCGGATTGGGACAACGTGGAATGCCACAAACCATCTTAGAAAGAACCGCGTGGCATCTTTGATTGCTACATTAAAGATTTTTTTTTGTTGGCTCACATGATCAGAATTTTTGCAGGGTTGATGTTGTTTCTCTGAGAGTGAGAAGTGACACTTGAGGCTGATATTTCGATTTTGCGGAATTATAAGTTTATAACTGTTTTCGGGGGTTTTCATTACAGCCACCTCCTTCAGCAGAAGGAAATGGTAGCCATATGCCCAGATACAAGATAGAGAATTTGATTTGCTTGTGGTATGATAACGTGGTTATCGACTCCCTCCAATCTTATTTAATACTGTAGTATAATTTAATTTTATAAATCTTATTAGATTCGGAGTGAATAGTTTTAGCAATTTGCCTGGTTATTGTAGAGATGTCTCCGGTTTTATACCAAAAAAGAAACATGAAATTAGAGAGTTTGTCCGAGTAGACGTTGTAATTGTGAATATATGATTTTCATGGGTAAGGAAATAGATATATTTTCTGAATAAACTAGGAATCGTGACGGTTTATTGACAAAGATAAGCATGTTTTAATTATTTTTGGACTACCAATGAGTTCGACAACTTCCCATGGTATTTGGAATGAGCATGACCTATCTACTTTTAGGTTGCTAATTAATTTTGAATAGAGACAAAGACAAAATATGTTTTTTTTTTTTTACTGAACATGAAAATTCGAATTTTGCAAAGCATCTGCCACGATATTCTTATCATGCTGTTGGACATACAGTTTTTTTTCACCAACATGTATAGTTCCTTTATGCATCATACTTGGGGAGAGCATAACAAAGTTAATATTTCCAGGCAGGGATGGAGCCAAGCCCCCTACATATGGTGGGGCAAAATTTTTCAAATTTCTAATCTAATATTTTGTCCTTAATATTTTCAATTCAGTTGGGACAAAAATTGATTTTTTTTAAGGAAAATTTTAAAATTTCAAGGGGTTAATAGCAAAAAAAAAAATTTTCAACTGACGCAATTGCCCTACTTCCTTTGTATGTAGCTCCGCCCCTGTTTCCAGGGAAGAAGAAGTTGAGCTTAAAATATTATTCTTAATACTCCACATACCTTAAAAAAAAAGTTCATATTATAACTTTTTCTACTTAAATTATGATGTGCACTATTTTTCTGTGAGGAGAAGAGTATCATCTAAAAAATATGTCCTTTAATGTAAAGAAAAAAAAATTACTTAAAACTAGAAGGGTAGAAAGACTGCTTTTCGCTTTTTCCTCCATAGTTTTTTGGGTTTTTTTTTTTTTCAATATTCTATCTGCATGGGCTTGTTCAATTAGTGGCCCAAAACAAAAAGTACTGGGCATCCATTTCCTATCTATGAGAAACAGACCAAAACTGAACAGTAGTCAAATGATCAAATTGAATATTAGACTTTGGACATATGGGAGGACATTAATTGTCTACTACCAACTAAATTTCTTCTTTTGGTTTGTTAAAAAAATATACAAAATTAGACAATCTTTTGTGGATGGAGGAAATAAACCTAGAACCTTTGTGTCAAATATGCGAATAATCTCAACTGCAAACTTATTTTGAATGTGCGCCAAGGAGAAATATTTATAGAGTAGATAAAAAATTTATGCATATTTTGATACTTCACTTTGTTGAACTATTACGGGGGAAGGTCATAATATGAAGAATGACAAATGAACAGTTTCTTGTGACTTATTTGTATCCGCACTAGAGGTGATTAGGTCAATTAATTATCACTAGCTAAACCCCTACACTTCAACAACATACAGTATTGACTAACTTTATGCTTTTTATCGCCTCAACTTATTCTCAGATAAAATTTCACGTGTCAAATAATCGCATATATTGTACTTCAATGATGTTGTCACTGTTAGATGATGATAACTTGTCGCTAAAATTGGTACATGGGATTTCATTTCACAATTTGTTTAGGAATAAAATAAAATATCAATAAATCAATGGATCAATGAATCGTGAGTCGTGTCGAAAATAGTCTTTATATCGAAACATATAAGTCCTACAAATTTGAAAAATATGCAGGTTATGTTGTTATCATAAATTTAATATATTTTTTCATCTCAAAATGAATCGTTCAATTTGGGTTTAACTTTCAGTATGAAAAAAGTATAATCTTTGACGTAATTTAACCAAATGAAGTTAAATGTTAACAGGGGATCGCTGAAGTGGTAAAGGACTTGGCATCCAACTCGGAAATCTCTGATTCGAAATCCCACAACAGCAAAATGTTGTCTTTCTTTGCAAGATACAGTTAGTTCAATCACCCGATGGACGTGCGAAAAAAGGCGTTGCAGGCATGGAGTCGTCTCCCATTAGACTAGGCTAGTAGTAGGTTCCTCTCCTTTAGACTCAGCCATGTAATGGTCTAAGTACTTGTAAGAATTGTATAAGAAAAAAAAGAATAAAGTTGAATTGATTCGTTGGATAGAGCCATATCAGACGGTGAGACAAAACACTCAGTAGCTTCATTGATAATCAAGGAAATTGGGCTTGGGGTGAACTCCGGCAGTCCCTACCACCTGATATCCTAGAAATTATTAAGGCTATCCCCCCTCCAACTGCTGTAGTTGGGAAGGATAAGCCAGCTTGGAAATGGACAAAAAATGGAAAATTTTCTACTTCATCTTCTCATTCTATTTTTGCAGGAACTAGAGGCCACATAGAACAACCACACTGGAACCACATATGGAAATGGCCTGGCCCCGAAAGGATCAGGACGTTCCTGTAGCTGCTCTATAGGGAAGCCTTGATGACAAACTCGGAAAGACTCCGCCGCCACATATCTGACGACGGAAGCTGCCTCTATTGTGGCGGATTAGAAACCTTTTATTACTTATTTCGTGACTGTAACAGGGCTAAAGAATTGTGGAAAAGCTGCTGTCCCAGTTTGGGTAGCAACTTTTGGCATAACAATTCTTGGCCAGACTGGATCTTAGCTAACCTAAAATCCTCCTTTTTACAGGACACACATGAATGGAAGATCTGGTTTGGAATGGCTGTTTGGAAGCTATGGAAAACCAGAAATGAGGAGACTTTTGGATCATCGACTACCTCTCTGGCTGAACTCAAAGGATCCACGCATTCCCTTATCAGAGAAGTAACCAGATCAAACATGATTTTTGCCCCAAAACAACAAGCCGGGAAGCTATTGGAATTGCCCCGGCCATGGCAACCACTGCCATATCAATGGATCAAAATAAACTCAGATGGTGCAGCAAGTATTGCTGCCAAACAAGCAGCTATTGGGGGTCTCCTAAGAAACCACGAAGGCCTGTGGATCACAGGTTACACAGTTAATTTAGGAACTCCCTAGAAGCCGAATATTGGGGGGGCTCTTTTTGGACTCCGAGTTGCATGGGATCTTGGCTTTAGGAGAATTATTTTGGAGATGGATTCTGCCGAAGCCCTAAACTCTCTCAGATCCATTGATAATTTGGTCCCATTTGGCAACGTTTTGAGACACATTTCGGTCCTACTTGATAAGTAATGGATAGTGAATTTTAGCCTCATTAGTAGAACATCAAATGAGGCGGCAGATTCATTAGCTAAGCTAGGCTTCTCTTGTCTGACGGGGTTACAAATTTTGTCATCACCCCCGTCGAATATAGCTGATCTTTTAATAATAGATAGGAACCAGTCATCCCCCCATTCTTAGGATGTTTTGTAACTAAGTTTTATGCTTCCTTCGTGTGTGTGTGTGTGTATATATATATATATATATATATATATATAAAAGGGGTTTTTTCTTTCTAGAAGTTTTGTAAAAAAGAAAGAAAAATGGAGAGCATCTAACCTAACCAATTAGCACCTGTGATTTCGGTCCCCAATCAATTGATTAAAAAAAATAAGAAGAAGAAGAACACAAGGAACAAAGACAGTTGGTACATTTGTACTTTTCTTGCTAAGGCGAATACACGAGTTCTTGTCGTGATACACTGTACTGATATCACTCCTGGGAGTTTCGGAATAAAGCATGCTATAAAGTTTTTGACATGTTTTGTTTCAGATTGACATATAAAAACAATTGTTTCTTTAAGGAATAAATGTTTGTCATTTGGGATGCGTCATTCATTAATTACCTCGAATAGGGAATCAACTCTGCATATAAGGAATCTGGAATTGGATAAATTAACTAATTATAAATTGTATACTTGTGAGTTTTGTCATTATATGTGAA